AAATTCTGGAAAGACACTTTTCCTACGGGAAGCGCTGCCGAAAATTTTCTTAGTTTAGAGGAGATAGACTATATTTTGACAGGTGGCGATTCAGGCGACCCGCCCTGAATAGGGAAGATTCTGCAGTTGGTCTACCTTTGGCTTAAACACTAGCTTAGAGGTAGACTTAAGTTTAACTTATAGGAAAATTTTAAGTGAGGATGTATTATGGAGTTGTATTTTCCATACATTTATGATCGTAGCTTGGGGATTGGTCTGCCGTGTGCTACATGTCTTTTTTTTATCATTTGATTCAAGTTCAGGGCTAAATCCAGCTTGATCCCTTGAGGATCACTTTCTGTTATCACTGATAACAGGTTGGTTGCCGATTCGTCGGTCTACGACTCGATTCCAACTCGCCCTCCACACTCAACCTAAAAGGCTTTAGCCCTAGTGATTTCATTGTTTCGTTAAGGTTTCACCCATACTTTTATTGAATGGCCATTTAACAAAGGTACTGAGTATTTAATTAAGGTGGGTTGGACAGGAGGTTGGGGTTTGCATGGCTAAAGCGATGGGTACGAGTGTTGAAGATGGTTGGGGTTGACCTCGTGTAGTGCGTGGACCTTTTGGTTGAATCTTTGATGTGATTGCAGGTATGCTTGGTGATTCGGACTTGGGATTTGACTGTCTACGCTCACATAAATATATATATATATGGCAGAGAGGAGCCCCATTGTGACTATAAGAAGTGATCGTCCCGTAAAGTTAACCCTTATATATTCATAAGTGCCCTGAGTGTTTTGAGAGACCACTGTGATTGTGCATAAGGGTTAACTAGATTGTGCCCCGAAAGAAAAGGGGGGATTCCCTTTTTACCTTTGCTTTTCAGAAATTTTTATAGTCGGACGTTAGTCCTGGGCCGGGATTCGAGGTCCTTGTCCAGGACATCCCAAGCCCTAGACGCTGCAGGGAAGGAACCTGCCCCCGCGCAGAGCCTATTTGCCTTGCCTATCGAGACGCTCAGACCAAAGGCCGGAGGTCTCGCAGCGGCTGCACGACTATTCCTTCAGCCGTGCAATGTCGTGAAGGATTAAACCCTCACGACACTTCGAGTCTGACACTTGAGTGTCATAAGCGGTACTCGGATCCACGAGGGACCACTTGATTGTGGGCACTACATAGTACGCCATCATTGCGACTGCTTGCGTACACTTGCATTGCGAGCCGATATGAGTTAGCCCTGCGTCGGCACGGTTTTATATTAAGTCTCGCGCGCAACGCCTATTCGGTTTCCTCATTGGGAAGTTATGGGACGGCTACCGAGGGGCTAGGAGCGTTGTCGCGTTGTTTGTGTTGTGTTGTTTCGTGTGCGTGTGTGTGTGTGTGTGTTTTATTGTCGTGTCTGTAAAGTGGTGTGCGCGTGGTGTGTGGGATGCGTCCTAGTCGACCGACGAAGAGTCGCGCTTGGGACTCCAGCCCCCCAAGATGTCGGTTCTCGTACGGGTTCGATAGAGGCGTATTACCACGCGTACCCCCTATGCTACAGCAAACGAGAAACGCCCTCGGCAGGCCCACCTCTGCGATTGCAACTGATTAGCTTTCGTACTGTGGACTGGTAGCTCGGCGGGGATATGCCCACCGAAGGGAGGTGACAGCTCCCGTAAGGTGGAGGTAAGTCGTGCCTCGCATAGGCCCTATCCTGTCGTAGGGGCTCGCGGGAGGTAAGGCTGGCGCACTCGGCCGGAGCGGCTTGCGGAAGCTCCATGTATATTCGCGACGAGGAATTAGTCCAACTCCTGCGTGACGCGGCCGGGAGGGTCCCGCGCTGCCCCGTGCAGTGCCGGACCGATGCGCCCGACAGGTGGCGCCGTTGCCGGGGATAGCGGAAAGCCTACCGTTGTCCCTGGTGGAACGACATCTGGGTATGAGAAGTGAATGGGAAAAAGGCACAAACGAATGAGTGACTAGGTACAGGTGAGGAAGTTTTACCTACCTAAGTTAAGGGAAGTATGAGGGACGATCGTGTTAACATTTGGGTAAAGTAAGTACTAAGGGATGGAATAGACCGGTCGCGGTGTAGTGATTAAATAAGGGGATGTCCTTGTTTTCTCTTGCCAGGGAACTTGAAAAGAAGAGGCTGTCATGATGCCTGAGACTGGCGGCGCATCGGGTGCACCCAAGAAGGGCCTGACGCTCGATGACCTCATCGCGACCATCGACCGGCATGAAAGGAATCCAAGCAATATCCCCAAGGTCAATACCTTCCATTTTTGTGGGGAAAGAGTCTCAGAATGGTTGGAGCGGGTGGAACAAGCTCTGGTCGGGCGGTCGGACGTTGTAAAGTTCCAACGCATCCTTCAGTATGTCCTCCACAGCTACCATCTAGAAGTGAAGAAAGTTATAGATGCAGCCCAAGGTAGCTGGGAAAGATTCAAAGAGGGAATGCAAAGGAAGTACCACCTGGGAGATGGACTATTGACCACTGCAGACCTTGAGGCAATGAACAAGGAGGCTTTTACGACGATAGGGGCTTTCGTCCAAGAGTTCAAGAAGAGGGCGCGGAAGGTCCATGGGATTTCGAAGGAGGCACAGTGCGCCATCTTCCTAGGGCTACTCACGACATCGTAGGCCGTCGAGCTGACTAGACATGGAGGGGGTAGCACCAAGCTCACCTGGGCCACCATTGACAGAGGGGTGGAAGTTGGATGTTTGGACCAGGTGGAACAACGTCAGGTACGCCTGCAAAGGGAGAAGAGAAAGGAGAGAGATGCGACCGCTTCTGAGATCCCGGGAGTAAAGAGGATTGTTACTGACGTATTGGCGCAGCTGGGGTACGCGACAGAGCCGGTGGTGCAAAGAAGGGTAGTAACGGTTGTCCAGGTAAAAGGAAAAAAGTCAGTGGTGGAGGAGGCCGTTGAGGAGGAACTCTGGGAAGAGGAAGAGCCAGTGCCGCTGCACCTAACGAAGGCCCAGCGCAAACTGCGTAATCTGGCGCAGGGCGGGCAGGGATCAGGAAAGGGGCAGGCGCCCCAGGCCCAGGCGGCGGCACCTCCAAATGTAGCAGCTCCATCGTCTAGTGTGGGCCCCTCACAAGGAGGGGCACCCTCCAATGGGCAGTGGCCTTGGCCGGTGATCAATGCCATTGTGCTATGGGGCAGCCCGCCGCCAGTAGCCGGGCAGTAGATGAGTATGCCACCACCCATCTACCCCGCAGCCCAGGCCCAGCCTATGGCCCCGCCGCCGTCACCCGCTCCCAGTTCATAGGGAAGCGTGGCTGGAGGTGGGAACTAGGGGCAGGGCAATCAAGGCAACAGTGGAAGGGGTGGAGGAAGAGGGCGAGACAGGAATGGCGGCGGACGAGGAGGACAATGGAATGGTCAAGGCCGGGGAAGCCAAGGCCAAGGGAACCAAGGCCAAGGGTATCAAGGTCAGGGGAGCCAAGGCCAGGGGGATCAAGGAAGTCAGGGATACGGAAGGCCCCGTTTTGATTGGAGGTCGGCCATCTGCCAGCATTGTGACCAGCAGGGCCACACTATAAGGTTCTGTAACATAAGGCGGGAGGACGAGAAAAGCGGGCTGATTTCCTCCACTATGGACGGGAACATCTATGACCAATTTGGGGAGTTCATCGACAGAAGGCTCGGGGGAGTGAGGGCAGAAGCCCAGCGAAGGGCGGCAGCCGGGCCACTACCTCATGCCACATTCAGACTATGGTAGGAGAAGAAAGGACTATCGGTGGGGATAGAGGGATTCAGATTATGGTAGGAAAAGGAAGAACCACTGGTTGGGGTAGAGGAAGTGGGGAACGACGAGGAAGTAACTCAAAAGCCACGAGGGGAAAGCGAGGGGGAAGAGCCCATAGTCACCGAATCGGACGACAAGGATGAGGAAAAAAGGATGGAACCGTCGTCCTTCTTATTGGGGAAGATGGAGGAATTACTGGACAAGGTGGGAAGGTAACAACAGAAGTTGGTGACCCTCTGTGAGGAAGTGAGGGAATGGAAGTCTAGCATCCCCAAGGTGTTCCTATATGACTCCGGCCCGGAATCAGCGCCTGGGCGACCCGGAGTAAACGTGGTAGGGTCAAGCCCACAACCGGGGGTGATGGGGAGACCCCTCACCCCGCAGGCCCGGTTGGCATAGGCGGCACGAACAAGGAATCAAGCCAAGGTCAGTGCCAACCAAGAACCTCCTAAGAGGGAGCCCGAACCAGGAAGGAGGAAAGAGGCCGTGGAAGTGGAGGATGACAATGATGAGGAGGAAGAAGATGAGAGGCTGCGCCGAGAAGAGGATCAGAGAGCGGAGCAGCGGGCAAGGAAAAAGGGGACCAGGGGAGAGGCCGAGCCGGTCATACATGACGGACCACCTAAAAAGAAGAAATACGCGGTTCGGTTGGAAGAGGGGTTTGACATAGAGAAAGTGATTCACCGGCTGCTGGAAGGGCATAATGACCTCATGACCATGAAGGAAATCCTAGCATTGGCCCCGTGACTCCTCGATGAACTAAAAGGGAGATTGTCGCGGCGCTTGGTGCCCAACGTCCATCTAGGTACGATCCTGCCCAAGGAGGCAGAGTGGGCAGAATCGGGCACAAAAATGGATTGGAAATGCCTGGCCTACGACACGGTGGATTTGGTGGTGAAAGGTTTCAAGTGCGCAGCCATGGTGGACACGGGAGCTGAAATGAACATCATCCGGAAGGCCGATGCAATAAAGTTTGGACTGGATATAAACCGATCTGATTGCGGGATTCTGCATGAGGGCAGCTGCAAGGCCGTGTTTTGTGGGACAGCCTCGATCGTGCTCATCGAGGTTGGAAAGGTGAAAGTCAGGGCATGCTTCTTTATAATGCCAGAAGTGGACCACGGGATCCTATTGGGAAGGTCATTTTTGAGTAGGACAGAGACCGTGATGTTTAACAAGCATGACGGGACTCTAATCCTCCTTCTATGTGACCCTGCCTGCGGGAATTATGAGATAATTACCTGCAGAAATACAGGACCGAGGAGTATAAGGAACCGGCCCAACCCAGGATCTTTCACGATCGAAGAATCGAAGGGCGAGCGCCGAAGACTTCGGGCGGAGCCGAAAGAAGAAGAAGAGGTGAAAGCATTTTCCCTCAGCTTATTGGACGTCGGAAAGGCCATGGATTTGGTGGCCGCACATGAGATGGCGGATCCGGATGCCATCCAGGGCTTGAGGGAGCAAGTTCTGGAATGCCTCGAGGCTGGGAGATTGGAGCTGGTATATCGTCTTCCGGACGGAAGGAGGAACCCTGCATCGGCGGAAGCAGAGTCTGTGAGTCGGCCTTTTTTAGGGGACAGCTCAAGCAGGGTTCCCAAAGGTGGTACAAGACGGTAGACAAGAAGTGCCGCCCAGTGCCTGTCCTCGTTACTGAAGACGAGGAAACATACTATGAGAGGGAGCGAGGGTTGATACGACGAATGAGGGAGAGTGCGCTAGTAGGGCCATTTCGTATCAACGAAGGGAATGAGGAGGAGTTGATTATAGGGGAACCAGATTTCCTGCTGCCTTAGGAGCGGACATTGATGGTGGAGTTGATGAAGAGGAGACATCGCGCCTATGCGTTTAGTGACGAGGAGCGTGGCAGGCTGAATGTGGACAAGATACCTATGATCCGCATCCACACCGTGCCACACGAGCCTTGGAACATGAGAGGGGCGCGATATCCTAATCCTGATGAGGAAAAGAAGGTGGTGGATTACCTCGACGGCAAGATACGTACGCACATCGCCGACTATTCGAGTGGACCGTATGCATCCCCGTGGTTCTGCTTTATCAAGTCCAACGGGACGCTGCGGTGGGTGCAAGATTTACAGAGGCTGAATGCGGTGACCGTGCGGGATGATGGAGGATTGCCCAATGCAGACGCGCTGTCGGAATCCTGTGCTGGAAGGCCTATAATTTCGCTTATAGACCTTTACTCAGGATATGATCAGTTTCCGGTCTACCCGCCAGACAGGTCGGTGACGGCTATGCACACGCCGCGAGGGTTAATCCACATGAATGTGGCCCCACAAGGGTGGACCAACGCAGTAGCAATGGTTCAACGGGCCATAATTCGTGTTATGCAGTCAGTCAGCCCTCATATCACACAACCATATATCGATGATTTGGCAATGAAAGGGCCTGCAGTGAAGGAGAGCGACGAAGTCTCGCCAGGGATAAGACGCTTTGTTTGGAAGCATGTCCAGGACCTTGAAAAGGTCTTGAGCCTGCTCGAGGAGCATAACCTTACGGCAAGCGGGGCCAAATCCAGACACTGCATGAGGGAAGCAACTATCCTAGGGTTCGTCTGCAGCGAGAAGGGCCGGAGGCCGGATGTGAAGAAGACGGACAAGATTAATGAGTGGCCAGTTTTGTTCCACTCAATAACCGATGTCAGGAGCTTCCTTTGTACGTGTGGATTTTGGAGGGCCTTCGTCAAGAATTTTGCNGGATTTTGGAGGGCCTTCGTCAAGAATTTTGCTGCTAAGACTGAACACCTGAGGAAGTTAGTCCGTCAGGATCAGGAATGGGTTTGGGGTGAAAAGCAGGAAGAGGTGGTGGCTAGAATGAAGGAGGAGTTTCGAGAGGGAGGGTTGGTGTTAGGAGCGCCAGATTATGATGCTACGGAGACGCGACCCTTCATTGTCAAAACGGACGCGGGGCTGACTGCCTTAGGGGAGTTCTAATTCAGGCAGACGTAGAAGGAAAGGAAAGGCCCTTGCGATTTAAGAGTCTGACTCTCTGTACGACAGAGAGGAACTACTCTCAGTTCAAGAGGGAGACCCTTGCCGTCCTCCATTGTCTGCGAATCTTCCGAAACTATATCTTCAGCAGGAGGTTTATTTTGAGAGTGGATCTGACTGCCTTGGCCCACTCTCTAAGGAATTACGTTCGATCGGATCCGACGGTTGCCAGATGGCTGACGTACATCTGGATGTTCAATTTTGAGTTGGAACGGATTCTTGGTAGCAAGAACCGGGCGGACGGGCTGAGTCGTATCAACTGGGATAACCAGGAAGGAGAGGCTGTGGAGAATACGCCCCCAGTTGATGGATTTCTGGATCAGGAAGAAGATGTTCGTCTCCACATCAACAAGTGGTCGCCGCGAGTACCCAGTTGTGTAGGCTATCCTATCTGGCAGGCGCCGAATGGGTATGAAAGGAGGGCCGAGCTAGTCCTCAAACCCTTTGAAGAAGAAGATCCCTGGGGTGGTAAGAATGTTCAGTGGATGATGGAGCTAGCGCTGGCAAGCTCGCATAGCCTGGTGGAGGATGTGAGGGCGATTGAGGAAGGGCCTGGCCAGGTAGAACGGCATGAGGACCTGATGGGAGTAATGTATCTCCTCGTCAACACGTTATTGCAGGAAAGCCCCGACCAGTCAGGCTCGTTGAACCCGACAGGGAATGTGGACGGAGTACTCGAAAGCCAGGACGACGAGTTCGAGGAGGGGGAGATTAAGGAGGTTTTTCGTGCAGAGGAGTATGACGGGATCTACCTAGAGCTGGGGCTTCTTCTGTCATGTGAAATACGGCTAAGGGATGCAAGCGATGGGGCTCAGAGAATGCTGCAGCGCTACTTAGTGCGAGACGGCCACCTTTTCGTGAGAAGAGAAGTGGGGAATCCCAGGAGAGTCGTCTGCGGTAGG